GTTGACCCTTGTTTTTCTAAATCTGAGGTCGTATAAGATTGCTAAGAGTATGTGGGAATATCTGAAGAAAGTCTATAGTCAGAAAAACATGGTCCGATGATTTCAATTAGAGTATGAAAATGGAAATTATACTCAAGGAGATCTCTCAATTCAGGAGTATTTTACTGGATTTCAGATCTTATAGGTAGAATTTGCTGATATAATTTATGTGAAGGTACCTGATGGTTTTGTCGCTATAGTTTTTGGAGGTTCATGAGTAGAGCAAGAGATCAGTTTTTGATGAAATTGCAACCTGAGTTGAAGGCTTCTCGGTCTAATTTGATGAATCATGATCCCACTCCTTCTTTAGATATGTGCTTCGGGGAGTTACTTTGTGAAGAGCAACGTTTTGTTACAAAGGCTAACTTCCAGCAAGTGAAAGGGAAAGGTAAAGACATGTGAGAAGTTCAATGTTATAGCTGCAAGGAATATAGACATATTGCTACCTTTTGTGTGAAGAAGTATTGTAATTATTGCAAGTAGCCTGGACATATTATCAGAGATTGCCCTACAGCTCCTCGGAATTGTTAGGCTAATGTCTATTAGGCTGAAATTGGTTCTTCTAGTGATTCATCTGTTTTTACTCTTGAGATGGTCAAGCAGGTGATTGTTTATGCTTTTTTCAACTTTTGGACTTCAAAGTAACAGTTTCCTACCATTTAAGTCTTGGCTTGTTGATTCTGGTGCGTCTAATCATATGACTAGTTCTGTTGACACTCTTCTCACTCATTACAAACTATGATTGCTAATGGTAGTCAGTTACCTATTCATGATGTTGGAGATGTTAATTCCTATGTTAACCTTCTAGTCTTATATCAGTAGGCAAGTTAGTTGATGATGACTGTGATGTTTTGTTTTTTCATTATAGTTGTCTTGTGTAGGATCAAGTGTTGGGGAAGATCCTTGTGAAGGGTTTTAAAGTTGGACAATTGTTTTTTCTGCACCCTTTCATTCCTCTAGTTATTTCTATGGCGTGTACCACTGTAAATCATAAAAGTGAAATATGGCACCAATAAAGATTGTGGTAGATGTTAAGTGTTTTTTGCTAGAAAATACAACAAAATAATATATATATATATATATGCATGTATGTATGTATTTAAAATTTATTTTATTTTTGACATCTGCACATTTAAACGATCAAAAAACACACAAAAAAAAATAATTTGAAGCTAAAAAGGAAGTTCAAAATTATTAAAAGTGCGGTATAGCCGCAATCCCAAACATTGCTTGAGTTGGATTCTGGCCCTATTCCTCGCCGTTCTACTAGACTTTCTCGTCCTCATGATCCGTATTGTTTTTCTCCTACATCCTTTCATGCTATTTTGTCATCTATTGCAATTCCTACATATTATTCTGAGACAGCTAAGCTTGAATGTTGGTGTGAAGCCATGGTAAATGAGCTTCACTTTCTTAAAGATAATCATGCCTTGGATATTCCTTGCCCATTGATTGTTAAAATTATTGGTTGTAAGTGGGTTTACTCAATCAAACTCCATTCTGATGGGACTTTGGATTGATATAAAGCATCGTTGGTTGTTCTTGGTAACAAATAAGAATATGAGGTGGACTATGAGGAGACTTTTGCTTTGGTCGCTAAGATGATTACAGTTCAGACTGTTATTTCAATTACTGCTTAACAAGGTTGATCGCTTCGTCAAATGGATGTAAAAAACACCTTTCTTTTTGGTGATCTCAAAGAGGAAGTTTACATGACACACTATCCTCTGGTCTGATCTCCAACTCTTCCTTGGATGTCTGTAAGTTCAAGTGTGTTTTATGTGGACTGAAATAGGCTCCTCGAGCATGGTTTGACAAATTTCGAGCCACCCTGCTTTAGTATTATTTTTAGCAAAGCAAGTATGACTCTTCCTTGTTTCTTTGCAAGGCATCTACAGGTATTGTTCTTCTCCTTGTCTATGTTGTGGATATTGTTATTACTGGGACAAATTTCGTCTTGATTACTTGTCTGGTAGCATCTTCAAAACTCGTTTCATATGAAGGGTCTTGGTCAGCTTACATACCTCTTGGGGTTGGAGTTTCACATTGATCACTTCGGTATATTTTTGAATTAGCATAAATATATGTAGGATTTGATTGTTTTAGCAGGTCTTCAGGATATCTCATATGTGGATACTTCTTTGGAGGCTAACATGACATTGTCATGAGGAAAGTGACCTCCATCCTGATCCTACCATGTTTTGTTAACTAGTTGGGAGCCTGAATTATTTGACGATCACACTACCTGATATCTTTTTTGCAATTTAGCAAGTTAGCTAGTTTATGCAATCTTCATGTCATCTACATTTAGCTGTTATTTGTCATATCATCTGATATCTTTGAGGCTCACTTAATCATGGGTTGTTTTTTTCCTGTCGTTGCTCCTCTTCACCTTGTTGCATTTAGTGATGCTGATTGGGTTGGATGCTTTGATACTCGTCGCTTTGTTACTGGATGTTGCATGTTTCTTGGTGACTCCTTGATCTCTTGGAAGAGTAAGAAGAGGGCATGCATGTCCAAATCTTCTACAGAATCCAAATATCGTGCTATGTTTGTTGCTTGTTCTGAGACTGTTTGGCTACGTGGTTTGCTAGTTGAGCTTGACTTCTCTCAGCTTAACCCCACTCCTCTTCATGGAGACAACACGATGACCATTCCTTCTTTTTTTTATGAGCTTGCAAAGCATATTAAAGTGGACTGCCATTCTATTTGAGAAGATGTGAGCATGCAAAGCATATTAAAGTGGACTGCCATTCTATTCGGGAAGATGTGGATTCTTGGATTGTCACTCTTCTGCATGTTTCCACTGATCTTCAGCTTGCTGACATATTTACCAAGGCTATGACCTGACAGCGCCATCGATTTCTGGCAAATTGATGCTTCTTGATCAACCAACATCAATTTCTTGATGCCAGTCAGATATGGGCTGACATTATTTAAGGCCATATTAATTATATGATTCTAATTGTATGCTAATTATATAGTCATATAAATGGTTTTCATATTTAGCTAGGTGGGAGCTGGAAATCTAATTGGGGATGTATTATGCTATTTGGTTCTATATAATGGAAGGAACTCTCTACTGAAAGGAATTCAGACAAAATCCATTGTTTTTGTCAAAAGCAATTAGTTGTCTTAAGACTTTTTCCATGACACTATCATTCAGCAAATTGAAACATGGCTTTGGATTGATAATGTGGATATGGAGTATGATTTCCTATACTGTATGTAGGTTCTCTACTCCAGCTATGAGTGTTTGATGATATATGTATCATTTCCAGGTTCACATGCAAGGGGTTGCTGTTGGAAGAGCTGTTGATTTGACACAGTTTAAACGCTATGAAGATCTGCTGAGGAAACTAGAGGAAATGTTTGATATTGAAGGTGAGCTCAGTGGATCCACAAAGAAATGGCAGGTTGTCTACACTGATAATGAAGATGACATGATGAAGGTTGGGGATGATCCATGGAAGTAAGTTCATTCTACACTGATATTCTATATTCTCAAGTTGTCTTCCTTTACAAATTTTTGTTTTAAATGAAAGTCATCTTAAATATAAAATTGTCTTGGATGATTATTTTAAACCATGCATAAAAAATTAGAGAATTTTATTGCTTTGATGATGACTGGTTTGCTATCTGATTGCAGTGAATTCTGTGGCATGGTGAAGAAGATTTTCATCTATACATCTGAAGAAGTCAAGAGGCTGTCGCCCAAGATTAAACTTCTAGCTGAAGAAGAGGTCAAAGGAATTGGTGACAATGTTGATGCAGCTGTTAACACAGAGGACCGCTCATCCACTATTGGACCTGGATGCTGATACTCCATTATGCTTGTGTTTTGCCATAAATGGCTGGAATGGAAATATAAAAAGGGAATGATGAAGAGAGAACTCAGTAGTCAAGGTTTTGTTTATTGCAGCGTTACAAGGAATGGCCAGTGCAGTTTCTAGACACGCAGCACTAAAATTATGGTGAGTCGGTGGTTGACTGTTTATCAATCCTGTCATTTGTAGAGAATGAGACTCTGTCCTTATGAATAGGTTTTGGGTTTTGTTTATCATTTTGTTTCGAGAATCTAACCTTATAGTGCTTGTTTGTTTGGATTCAAAGCAGCCACAAAGTTGTCCATTCCACCTCTTTTTCTCAACAAATGAAAGAATAGAAATGAGCTATGATTTTTTTTTTCCAGTTTCCTTTTGAGTTGTTTTCTGGTTTGCACTAGCTCATCTGCCTTTTGTATATAAATATATATAGCCTTCTCATTTCTCGCTTTGTTGTGTATGTGTCTTTTTAGTTCTCTCTATGGAAGAAGCTCATAATAGTGGTTGTTGTATGATGCTGCGCAGTGCAGGTGTCTTTTTAGTTTTCTCTGTGGAAGAAGCTCACAGTGATTGTTGAATGATGCTGCATGTTCTGATCCATATCAATTCAGAAGCTGCTCCACCTAAAAACACAATTAATATACCTTTATATCTCGTGCATCATGCAATGTTTTTCTTTTTATTTGGTCTTCTATACAAATCTGATACTTTACTTCCCATATAAGAGTAAATGTGTGTGTTGTGCCGGTTGTTACAAGTATTAGAGGCATTGCCAATTGCAGACTCCCTCCAAGGGAGTGGTTGAATGGACTGTGTTTTATGTGGCTGGTGAATGGTATCACTTGAAATACTGCCAGTTTCCTGGGTTAAACCTGACCCTAAACCAGGAGGTAATTTCTTGTGAATCTATAATGTTGACCCCACAAGGGTGGTGGGCTTCTGAGGCTTTCAAACTTGCCAGAGAAACCATATGCGATGCTGCAAAATGCTGCCGTTGATTGTTTGTTTTTATTTTTGGTCCATCAAAAGTAAACTCAGCTCTGAGGGACAGATTACCAGGTTGAGTTTGATAACTATAATATAGATGATGGATCATGAAAATCATCCAAAAACAAAACAAAACAAAGAAAGGAATCATGGTATCAAGCTTAATCATAACTGATGCATTCATATTTTAATCAACGACCCCCTAACTAATGTCTTAGGCCTTGTTTGTTTCAAGGAAACCAGATTCCAGGAATTCATTTTTCTCATTTTCCAACGTTTGGCAACTATTCATAAACTTAGTTAAAGGAAAATTAATTCCAGTCAACAAAAAAAACTTACTTTACCTGTAGGAAAGTGTTTTCCTTTCCTTATAAAAAGGAAACCACTTTCCTATCTTTACACATCTGAATCCCCCTCTCCGCGTCTCTGTTCAAAAACAATTGAAAAGCCAAGAAACATACTTTTCATTTCAGGTATCTTTTTCCTTAATTTCTCTATTATTTTTCTCTATTATTTCCTTTATATTTTTATCTTTTATGTTTTATCTTCTAGTAGATCTGCAACTTCTTAATCTTGTTTACTTATTTTGAAATTTATCTGTTTAATTTATCTTTTGCCTATCAATTTTTTTCCCATACTAGTTTTCTTCTTCATCTCCCCGTCACAGTAAAAAATGCACACAGAAAAATACTTAAATTTGTCTGCAACTTCAGTTTTCTTCTTCATCTCCCCATCATAGTAAAAAATGCTCACAGGAAAACGCAACCAATTTCATCACAATCAAGCCATAATAAACACATTTTTTCTTACACATTCGGCAGCTTCCCTATTAGTTGATAGGCAGACAAACAAAACCAAAGGAGAAACTGTCTTGTTTCTTGAAACAAGATCCAACCATTCCCTATCACCGGATCCAACACAAAGAGAGTGACGCACACAGGAGGGGAAACTGTTGGGCGAGAGAGGGATGAGAACTGGGGATGAGGAGTAGATCAGTGATAGGCGAGAGAGAACCGAGAGAAAGAAAATAGGGGAATGGTGATGGTGTCTTGCCCCTTGAATTTGTGATGGTGCCCTGCTTCTTCAAAGAATAGAGGAATGGTTAGATTAGAGAGAACCGAGAGAGAGCAGGGGAAGAGAGACAACCGAGAGAGAACAATCAGTGATAGGCGAGAGAGAATAAACAATGATAGGCAAGAAAACCAAGGGGAATTAGGGGAATTTCAGAAACTGAATGAGGTAAATTAGAGGGGAATCAGACGGGAATGAGAGAAACCGATTGATAGGGGAATGAGAAACCGAATGAGAAGGGAATAACAGTGGAATGAAATTGAATGAGATGGGAATGAGAAGAAAATGACAGTGTAATGAAACCAAATGAGAAGATTTGACAGATGATGATGGGAATGACTGTGGAATGAAACCAAATGAGAGGAGAAATCGAATAATGATGGGAATAACAGGGGAATGAAACCGAATGATGTCTTTAATTAGTTATGGGAGAGA